ACACCGCGCATCTTCGCGCCACTCCTCCCCTTCCTCCTCCCTTCCTCCCCCAACCTCCTTCCTCCCGCGCTCTTCCACCCGCGCCCCAAATCCGCGCCAGACCGCCACCGCGCGCGCAGCAACCACGCCAACGAGCGCAGCACGAAGTGGCCAGCGAGGGAGTGCGGCGCCGACGAGGCACACGGCGCCAAGGAAGATGCCGACGTGCGCGCGAGCCGTGTGCGCGTGGTGCGCGAGGCGGTGCAGCGGCGTGCGCGGTACGCCTGCGTACATGCGCACGAGGGACGAAAGCGCCCGCGGGTAGAGTGCGATGGCTGCGCCGACGGCGACGCACCATGGTAGGAAGAAGACAACGCGCGAGGCAAGGGAGAGGCTCGGCGGCGTCCATGGTGCGCCTGGCGGTGCTGGGGCGCGCGGCCTCAATGCAGATACGGAGTATGCGGTGGGCACTGGGCTCGCTGGAGCGGATGGGAGCGTGTCGTGTGTGCTGCGCCTGCTAGGCGAGCGTACGGTCTGCAATGCGCAGGTTTGTTGTGATGAGTGATCGTAGGAGCAGGTGCAATTAGATGGTTTGTAAGGGGACATACGGGAGATCGACCCCGTAGTTTGCGAGGGGTACTATCAATCGGGACGTTTGGGAGGCTGAAGAGAGACTATAACAGTCGGTAGGTAATGTTCTGAGCTTCGAACGGGACGGAGGACGGCTTACCTGAGAGGGGCGTGGCTCTACCTCAGGTTCAGGCAGGCCGTTCGAATCTGACATCTCTGACGCTGACATGTCGTCGTCCGCGAGTGGCTGCACGCCCGTCGGGATTCCGGTGTCCACGCTAGCCCGCCTGTTCCGCTTCGCCAGACTAATCAGAGCTTGTTTGGCACGCCACACTGTGCCCCGTGAAACGCTCTTTGTCGTAGGCTTGAATGGTCGCGGGTCAGGCTGATGTTTCCCATCTACGAGCGGATCCGGGGCGGCTGCAAAGGACGGCGGATCGAGTGGCGTGACAGGCACCGAGTTGGACGGCGAGCTAGCGTTGCTGATCGGGTCGCTTGGAGAGAGCTCTGGGACGGTCAAGTCGCGCAGCGAGACCTGCTCGGCTGCGGAGATGTCCTGTGGGGGTATACCATAGTCAGATAGAGAGCGAGCGGCAACAAAGGGGGGCGGAACTTGCGATGTGAGGAGCGGCGGGCATAACGAACAGGTTTGAAAGTTGGGTGTGGACTGGCAGAAGGGCGGTATATACACACATCATCATTGTTATATTCCAACGAGCAATTGCGGCGTGGCCTGGAATTCATAGCTTGGTGCGTACCCTGCAATGATGTGGTGGGACTGTGCTAGCATCCCATGGAAGAGGCCAATTTTTCGCTGTTCCGATGCAGCAGTCGGAGGTCGTCATCATCACATATTACTCGCCCCTGTTTTGGAGGAAACCGTAGCGGTTGAATTGCCAGACGGTTGGGAATATGAGGTGCGCAAATCGAGACAACCAATCAGAGGCCGCGATGGATCAGGAAAACCCAAAAATCGTCCATGGTGCCACTCTGCCGCCTGCTCCCACTCTTCGAAGACTTTGGGTACATCTTCTTGGTGCTCCAACTTCACACGGTACGAGGCAGAAAAGGGTAGGGAGACACAGAGGGTCCACGAGGAGTTCAAAAAGAGGCTGGAGGAAGGTCTGGAGACCGGTGAGGAGATCGAGATGCTCCGAGTAAGCCCTCTGCCTCTTGCTGAGCCGTTCCGGGATATAGAAGGGGTTGCTCTTTGCTGCCTCTGGCTTGCTGTCTTCCACGCAGTAGACTCCTTCCCCCTGCCACACCATGCTGTCTGTGTGGTGCCACGTCACTCCTTACACACACCCCTTGACCCAAAGCGGATGGCTGTCCCTGCTACACAATCGTTCCTGTCGACTCGTGTTGGACACTCGGACACGGTCGGAATCATTGGTTAATCTCCTCGTGCAGTGGGAGCCGTGAGCCTCTCTGCTCCGCGCCCCACCACATTCGCCTATGTTTTCGTCCCAGTCCTAGTGGCAGGTTTTATCAAGGGTCCTATTGGTGGACTCCGAAACGTGACAGCAAACTTGACCTCACCCTTCTTCTGCAGGCGGGGCCCACGGCCGTTAGTACCCCATCATTGAGAGTGTTGTCCACCCCACCATGCCATTTTCTGAGGACCTTCAGTGGCACCCCGGACATGTTGTGCGCAGACGCTGCCACCTGGATCCAGCCCGTGTGACTGGCCCCACCACGTTCCCGTCTTCGTTGAAGTGGCACGCTACTGAATCGGACTGATTCGAAATCTTAAGGCCAGGTCAACTGTGCCCGGGGAGCGGATGACTCGGAATGCAAACTGTCGGGGAGTATCGGTACGTATAGGCACGAAGAAATGTTAGATCGTGGAAGGCAATGGGAACAAGCTTTTTGACGAAGGACGGAGACCTTCTTGCGACTTGGAGATCACAGGTACAGACCACATACGGACTCCGTGTGGCCGTTGTAAAAAAAAAGAGACAGACCACCCTCCACTGATTGTCTTTGGGCCGAGCGGTGTGTGGCAGTCCCGGCGGCCGGAGCTACGCTGAATATAGCTTGCCGTGAATAACTGATAGTCCACATAAGACTTATTTCTGGAAAACATCCCCATGATGACCCAATTTCACTCGGTACAAACGATCTTGTGGGAGCATGGGCAAGGTCCAGAGAGATACTTTCAGTATACCTGATGGTGAGTGACGGGATGCTTATAGCACTCTTATAGCTTGGGCTTATCGCGATATTGCAGTGCGGGTGGATCCTTCCACGCTTCCACGACTCGGACAGGACAGGGTATCAGATGCCAGTGGAACGGTGCACATGGGGGGACATGATCACGCGATTGTCACACATCACATAGAGTGTCATCCTCGTGGTATGTGGATGTGCCGCCGCCTTTGCATCTGGTCTAACTCACGTTAGAGGGCTGAAAAGCATGGAGACTATATACTGGTTGCAACATTCTTTGTCATGTCTTGTCTTGCTTCAATGCTTCAGTAAGGCATAAGCAGGCATGTCCCCGCACGATTCGCATGCTACAGCCCTTTTTTTTAAAAATCTGATTTTTTATTCCGCAGCGCGTACGAAGAAGTACAGAGGCGGTCACGTAGGGTACGTAGTATGAACAGGCGTGTGTGGTATGGGTTGTGAGCCAGGACTAGCTGGCTATTGTAAGCAATAGAGTGAGTGTAATGTGTGCTGGGGTCAACCTCCTCTCGACCCTGTTTCCGTCTAACTATTCTCCCCAATGCCTTATCCCGGCTCCCAGACCGTCCGTGGTTTCGCGCAAGCTCCAGTCTCTTCCAAGAACTTGAGCAGTGCGGTCACGCGTTTCGGATGGTTGAATAATTGTGGTAGGTTTCGGGGGCGGCCCACCTGCAGTGAGGGATTTGCGGCGCGCGGCGGTGTATTGTGGGCATTCGGGCAAGATGTGCTCCGCTGTTTGGACTGGCTCGCCGCATGGGCAGGCTATTTGTTCTTGCGTATAATTGAGGTTGCCATCTTGCACCACCAAATTACCACGGCACTTGGCAGGGCCCCCTAGGTGCGGGCATCAAACCTTATTAACCAACATTAAGGCCAGAGTTCCTCGCATGGATAAGATGGGCCCACGAAGGAAATTGATTTTCAACTACAGATTATCAGATGGGCGGTGAGATATCAGAAGCGACAGCTTTCCCGCGCTCCTGTCTCAATTGACTTCTCCGCGCCCAAAATAGGCAGAGAGGACTAGGCCAGCTTTCGTTTTCTCGGAAATCGAATAACCAACGGCTTTGTTGGTTGATATTACGACCCTTGATGAACTCCCAGATAACCGCCAACAACTTTTGATAACTTTCCCTTTTTTTTCCCCATAATTACGCGTCTCAGGAACCGTGATAGAACTTTTGTGATCTGCTGGACCTCAAGTTGAAGGCACATCCAACTATCCAACCCCAGATTAGATTCTATTTTCGGAACCGAACACAGCAGATGCCTTGCCCGTTCCCGTATCAACGATCTGTTCGATGTGGTAGCACAGCTTTGATAACATCTTTTTTCATCCAGATGCATACTCGGAAGGTTTGATTTTGCTCGAGATCGTTGAAAAGCGACGGGTTCCCGCGCTGGCACGGCACAGCACGGCAACACGCGCGTACGACCGGAATCAAGGGTTTTATGTAGTGGACATTACTGGTTCAGAATATATGTTCCAGTGCCACTTGTGACGGGCGCGCTTCCCTAAGCGCAAGTACCAGTGATGTGGAGAAGTCATGTGTGCAACGCACGCCTCAATCACTGGCACTGGATGTCCGGGTCACTTCATTCTCCTCTCCGAGATGTTATACCGAACTGAAGAGGTGTGGAGATGAGATCAGGGGACGCGCATGGGGCAACTTTTTTTTTTTATACGCATTCCCAATTCTGACCCACGTGCGTCCGGGTGCACGGAAAAACATCTCAACAGCAGATAATATGTTTGAAAGTAGGTATTAGTAAAAAACACGGAGAGGGGAGGGGAGAGAAGGCACATCTGCAGGTTGTAGGGCGGTAACAACGTCCGGGGTTTATTAGAGTACTGTAACACCCAATACCAACTGGCACCCAGCGGAGAAGAGGACGGTAAGGTGATCCACGTGGTTGAGCCGGCACGAGCGGGACCGAGCACCGAACACATCCGCCCGACACAGCAGTTGCCCCCAGTATCGCAATCCGCACCGCACCATCCCGCGTATTGTCGTGGAGAGGTTGCTAGTGAAACTGGCTGGCCGGTTACCGACGACCGGTAAATCGGGCGAGTTCCATTCCGAATTTGCGATCAGAATTTGCAATACAGTATATCATCTAGGGACCAGGGGAGGGAACCAGGGAAGCAGAAACAGTTGGAATTCTACCGTGGCAGTACCTCAAAGAAATCTTTTCCATCAATCCAATAACTATGCTCAGAAAAAAATTCTTGAGGGCCATGCATGATCAGAAAAAAAGCAAAGTGGACACATCCGGAATTGAACCGGACACCTCTCGCAAATGCAGTTGCTAAGCGAGCGTGATAAACCAACTACACCATGTGCCCTTGCAGTTTGTAAACAGTTGAGCCCACGAGGCCAAAAACCTCGTCCAACCACATGAATAAAAATACTATATAAAATAATATAATAAATAACACAAATAAATCTATACTGTCCTGCGTCATACCGTACACATCCCTTCTGCATCCCAGTGTTCACTGCGGACGCCAGCTGGGACGATAAAAAGGTCGTTAGGGTCGTACACAGCCTTAATCGCCTCAAGGCGTGGATATTTGGGGCCGTAGAACGTGACGCGGAAGTCTGGCTCGAGCACATCGCCTTCATTTGAGTAGCTACCACTGGCTGCGCCACCAGCAAGCTCCGCGAGCACAGGTCTAACTGAGGCAGTAAAATTTCTTCGCAATGCCTGTACGTCCGCTGGGGACAATGTATCGTTCCAACGTTGAGTCGCAATTACCTAACGTAATCCATCAAAATATTGCTCTGACTCTCAGAGAGAATGCTCACATGGGTCTTTGCAGTGCGCCATGCAGGGATTATTGCTGAGTCAATGTCGGCGTTGGCGGCCACTTTGCCTATGTGAATGGTTAAAACTTGGAATATGACAACAGAACATCACGGAAACGCACCGCCAGCGACAAGGTGCCCAAGGACTGATTGGATACCTTGTGAGAGCAGCTGCTTGTACGCTAGACCTACGCTCGCCGTCGCATCGCAGTAGACAGAGTTGGGGATGAGGCGAGAGCTAAGAATTACGTTGTATCCAGACGCGTCGTCTGCGAATCCAACAATATCGCCGGCAAATGTCGTAACAGTGGATTCTCCCTGAACAACTGCCCCAAGTGCGGTTGCGTCAGTGAGGAAAGAAGCCATTTGTGCCTTGCTGGCGGCACTGTCGAGGTCTTTGAAGAGCGTAGAGACGGCAAGTGTGCTATTCGATGTTGATCCCGTCAGATAGAAGTACTGCCCAGCCCCGACCTCATTCCAGTCGTTGACGTGCTTGGCGTGCGAAGTCATCAAACTAACTGTCTGGTCCAGTGTCGCCGTCAAGACATTGACGGTGTGTAGAGTTGCGTTGAAAATGGGGTAAGTGGGGAAGGTGGCATCGACTATCACACCCCAGCTGCCAGCACCGCCCCCACGCAAAGCCCAGAATACTAGAGGAAAAGAAAAGATGAGAGGCACCACAAAGTGCAAAGCAATGGAGATCGTACAGTCGGGATAAGAGGCCGAGTTGGCGGTTACAAACGAGCCGTTGGCCAGAACGACATTGTATTCTGAAGGATTGCTTTTAAGCCAGTTTGAGAGTAAACGGACGCGAAAACACGTACGAAGAACGTTGTCGGCGGCGAGCCCATATAGGGGTGAGAACGCAGAATGTCCGGCGCCTTGGGCATATCCGCCTGCTGGGGACACGGTAGCAGCAGTCCCCCCAATAAACATCTTATTTTGTGCCTTCGCCGCAGCGTAGATGTCTTTCAGGCCAACGCCTGAGCCAACGGTAACTGCGGGTCCATGATCCACACCGGCGACGGAGAATTGGTTCGTAAAGGTGATGTTCTTGAAGTAAGCGGTCCAGAGGAGCAAAGAATTCTTTGCAGTAGAACGACCTAAGTAATCATGGCCGGAGGATTTGATGACAACACGAAGGTCGTGGGCCTGAGCGAATATGATACCAGCCTAGAAGATGTAAGTAGCTGTCACTGTCATGTGGGAAGGCTCACATACCTGAATATGTTCGACTTCTGTGGCATTGACTGCGTAAAGCGGGACATTTCCCTGCGCACAGCTACTCTTATTATAAAGGCAGAGCTCTGGGGGTGGATTGTAATCCTGTCATTACGACAACGTTCAACGAATGGAATGGATGCCACGACTGAGGAGGCGTCACCTGTTCCCAATTATACTACGAGAAAAAAGGTCATCAATGGGAAGAAATGCCAAGTCGAAACACCAACAGCATTCATTGACCCAGGAATGGTTTGTCGAAAAACGCCGCTTTGCCACTGCGTCGCCGTGCAGTTCAACTCACGGCACGCCTCTGCGGACGGCACGACATGGAGTAGACGGCCATCAGTTTTGTCGTACAAAGCAGACCAGTCTGCAGCGGAGGGATAACCAGCCTGGCCAGGCTGGTTGCGACACCGCGCGTGAACAATAGTTGGTCCGAAAAAAAATACGACCGCGCCAATGGTCAGAGAACGGAGAAGGGAGAGCATTGCCCAAGGAAAGGGGTAGGGGGAAGACGGCAAAAAGTTTGCAGTTTACGGAGTCATCTTAAGTAAACCTTGTTGCTGATCACGATACCGGTACATATGATTGACATTCGCACCATCCGGGGGAAGGAGTCTCGGAGGAAGAGTGAAGAGAACCGTACAACAGATGCCAGCAGTAATGCTGACGTAGGCGCAGCATTGCGCCAGGCCGGTGTTAAGCGACGGTCACTTACGGGTGTCATGGTGTTGTTGCAAGTATAGTCAGGTTAGTGAGAGCCGGAGCCGGGATTCTGGATGGCTGACAAAGCATGGCAGATTCGGTGCGTTCGTGCGAACACCCGAACCCCGAACACACACAAAGTGGAGATGGACTACGTGTTGTGTAGAACGCTCTCCGATGTCTCGGGGCTCGGCATTGCGCAAGCCCGCGCTGAAAGCTTCGACCGATCAATCACTTTTTTTTTCTTTTCCTCTTACAGCTTGCTTGTTTACTGTAATAATTTTGCGAGCTTCTATTCAAAGTTGAACTGCCATTAGGAACTATCACTTCACATTCTTATCGTCGGCAGCATTATGAAGTGCTCCAACGGGACCGCTACCATATCCTTCACTTCCATTTAAGGTTAAGTACGGCACCTAGATAGTGTTCATGTACCCCAATGTGACGCCGTGTCCGCACTTCTGTTCTCCAAGACCCTCCTCCCATGTATGTCCACTCACATTTGATTAGCCCCACTCTCTCTTACTCAGGCTCTCCCTTTCGTCTTCGTCTCAAGTTGCTCGCAGGTCTTGCTAGCACGTCACTAACGCTCGCGTGCCTTAGCCTTCACATACCTCATGGACTGAGCCTGGACATCCGTTGAAGATATTCGCAATCCAAATCAAGTTTGGCCAAGGTTTCAAACTGCTGTAACCTGCCCAGTGCCCACTGGCAACGAACGTAATTACTTTATATGACCCTGCGATATATCCGTGCGGCCTTGAGCGCTGGTGCGGAGATGAAAGCCGCGAGGTCAAAATTCAAAGGCTGCCACCACTGGTGCACTGTGCACTCTACTGCGGCCCCAGTGGTGTAGAGTGTGCCGCAGTATTGCAGAGGCACGCCGGGCGGCCGAGAAGGCTGATGGCTGATGGATGCAGCGGATGTGGCTGTGTGGTGTGATCCGGCGACGGCAACCGGTGTTTCTTGCGAGTAATCCCGGACCATTCTTCCCATACTTTAATGTCGTTGTAAATATCAACCACGCCGCCACTGGCTTCTGTATCCAGTTTGGTACAACTCGTTTCTCAACATCCATCATGACTGGCACCCCCCTGTCTTCTGATCCATTGGCCGTATCGGGCGAGTAATACATATGCCCTCCGGTGTTAATTCCTCCGGGTCTTCGAGATCATCTGGTGATTCTACGTACACCCCCAACGCACGCCATTTCTGGTCATAATTTCCGGACTGGTGCGGCAGAAGCGAGGCTTGTCCATGGCCGAGAAGCCCAAGTCCTTCTTTTACAACAACAACCCCGAGCCTCCCAGAGAGTCTGTGCCATGCAAAAAAAGTCCTTTTGCCAGAATGGAAAGCAACTCCACAGGAATAATGCTCTGCCCCAGGTGACAATCCCTCACACGTGGATCACTTGTGTAGGGTGGTTGCCTGAATTTCGACTAATCTCGGCCTCGAGTTTCGAAGTATCTCTCCTCCAATGATCTTCGCAAATGCTGTCTGCCTTTTTCACTCAAATAATCAGCGCTCAGCAATTGCTTTTCATATTCCACCACATGGAAGGACGTAATACACGCAAGCATAGGTCCCATGTGATTCACATTGAGACACCAAGCAAAATATAGTAGTTTCCGCGGCCAATGTAATACAGTATAACTATTGTAAATCCATCTCCGGTATCATGTGTCACTATGCCCGCGGCGGGGCGACTGCAACGAGATAGTAGAGAAAAGGGGGTGATCGCAATGCATGTACGGGCATCACTAAGAGAACCCGTGCAGGGTACGTAACGACATTCATCTAGCTTATTGGCTCCCGCGCCGACGTGATACAGTGTGAATGTTGGAACCCAGCACGAAGCCGCCACCTCTCGCAGATGTTCTCAGGATCGGTAGTGAAGGCGATAGTGGGATAATGAACTAATTGATGGCCCGACTTGTTTTAATGGGATCATGGTCTCGTCTGGATGAAATGCTAGAATACGGAGGACATCAGGATCAGCCCGATAGATTGAAGCGCTGCTCCGCTCGGTTTGAGCCAGAGGGGAGTCTCGTCGCCCCGACATAGGGTAGATCAGTGGCATCTAGGGTCGCAAGGGCCAAGCCGTGTATGGTGGATTCGAAACACGCCACAGAATAAATGGGTATTTGTAAGGAGCCCCGTAACAGCCGCCACTGATGCGGGCGGGTCAATTTGTACTGATCAACGCACACCATCCCAGATATACCCCCAAGTTTGCGGATGATCTCACAGGTGACCCGGGGAACACGACTCGCACTCTCATCAATCTTAACGTGAGAGAGGGCAGTGTAGGTGATTAGCAGGCAAATGGGAAAAACAAGGACGTAACACATCCTTCTATTGAAGCACTTGCCACCCCTGAAAGGTAGAGGCTTGCCAAAAATACTAGAACACGGATCTCGAGCTCGTGTCCGAGCTTCATTGCAATCTAGCGGCTGGAAACTTCCTCTCACGAGAGTGGTGTCAACGGTCGACCAGAAATTGACTAGATAGGATAGGTACTTCATGATGGACAAAGCGCACCGCGGCGGCGCAATTGTTAAATTGATAAGAGAGCAAAAAAGGATAAAAATCCCGGCTGCTTCTCCTT